TAGCAGGCAGGGCATACTTGGAACGCCATAACCAATTGGCTGGAAAGCTATACAGAAACATCTGTGCTGAATAAGGCCTGGAAGTCCCAAGGTCAAATTGGGAGACTCCCACTGGGGTCGTGGAGAATGACCGAACTAAAATCTTGTGGGACTTCCAGATGTAGACGAACAAAATGGTGATGGCTTACCAACCAGACATAGTGGTGATGGAATAAAAGAAGAAGACAGCTGTGGTGATAGACGTAGCATTTCCGAATGACAGCAACATCAGGAAGAAAGAAACTTGAGAAATACAGAAGTCTCAGAGAAGATATCGAGAAGAATGGTGGGTGAAGGTAACAGTGGTCCTAGTGGTAATCGGAGCACTAGGTGTGCTGACTCTCAAGCTAGGTGAGTGGCTCCAGCAGATCCCAGGAACATCATCTGAGATATCTGTCCAGAAGTGCACAATCCTAGGAACAGCCAAGATACTGCGCATGGCCCTCAAGCTCCCAGGCCTCTGGTAGCAGATTTGAGCTTGTAGGATAGACCGCCCTTATGGGCGAGAGGGGAATTGTGTTTTGTTTTTGTTTTTTGTTTTTTTGCCAATTTCAAATGTGATTTATGCTAAAAAGACATTCTAGTTTCAAAATTTAAACTTGTTTTATAACATAAGTAATAGATTCAAATGAGTGATACTTCGCACTAACAACATTCCCAAAGGAAGATGTGCAAATTATGTTCGTTAAGTCAATTACATTATTTACATTTAAAATTCCAAACGAGTAATCCTCCATTCCAAGTTCAGATATACACTATTGGTAAGAAATCACATGATAAAAGCAGAGGGCATGATGGGTTGGAAGATCTGAATGCTAAGATCCCCGTAGGTTATATGCAGAGCTGTTAGTGTTTCAGTTGAAGATTGTGGAATTACATAGAGGTAAATTGGGATAAAATTCACTAAGTCCTTCCAACTGGAAGATCCCAATCCCTAATCTCTTTTGTAACATTTAAATACTAAAATTCCAACTATTAAATATAAATCACTAATGTTTAAAAGATTTTAATTTCCCTGTTTCCCATTATTCTTATTTCGTTTTTTCATTTTTTTAGGTTTCCTTTCTTAATTCCTACGTGAATGGTGACATATTGTCACAGTCAAGAAACAAGTGAGTAACAAAATGTTTTTATTTTGTTCATACTTTTATACCTTGTAGCACCACACATTAAGACCTATGCAATTGTCTGTGAGCACCCATTGAATTTATTTTAATCGTACTATCTGTGTATCATTTTGAGTGAAAAATGTTTTTAGGCTTCATCTGCCTGCTAGACAGATTATATGTGTCAAATCCAAAAGGAACATAGCCCTACAGTAAATAAGTACACATACAGAAATCTGCACATAGAGACATTGACCCTTGAAATTCTTTAACAACACAAATCTGCGATGCTTCCAAATCTTAAATAACCATCCATTTTAAAAGGGAGTTCTTCCTTCCCACTGCCATCAAAATGCCACCAAACTCCTGATTTCAATTCAAAGTGGTAGGCTTTTTATATATATATATATCAAGGTTTTCTTATATTTCTCTTCTTATTTTTCAAGTATTGGGACGTATACTCCTCAATTTGAAGACTTGTGGGCAAAAAATTAATTCACCTGTTCTGATGTGTATTCTTCTCTACAGGAAAAATGCCACGTCAGATGACAGAATGCCCAATATGCTCTGTTCCATATGTTGCAGTTGGGCAGCATTTAAAAAAGTACCACCATGTTGTAAACAAAGAAGAATTACATTTACTGCTAAATTACAGTGTAAGTCACTGTCATACAGTATATGACAAAACATTGCAACAATTTAAAGTGGTAGTTGTAGTTACATTTGTCAAACTGGATGTGATATGCAGTTACAGGGGCAGGCTGGACTGTCCAGTATGTAAAGCTAAAAACCGTATAAGACTGGACAAGCACTTGGAAAATGTCCACTGTGAGATTGAGGTTAGTGTTTTGTATAGCTTACATTTTGTTGTTAAATTAGAATGCATTCTTATGTGACATGTTTCACTAACTTTCTCAAACATTGCTGTTCTATTGTTTATACCCTTTCAGAAATCAGATCAGAAGAAAGTAATGAGGACAGCGAAACGATTGGCTAATCTGAAAGCCCTCAAAGCTCTCAGACGTTCAAATCCACAGCCTCCAATGGTGACCTCACTGGACATAGAGCAGCTGACTGAAAGCAGTGATCAAGATGAGCGAAGTGATAGCAGTGATACTAGTGAAAAATCTGCAGAGATTAGAGAAGACAGCTCAGTCCATTCCCCTGTCAATCAGTCAGATGATGCTCAAGTCCAACATCAGACTTGCAAAAACTGCAAAGAACTGCATTTGAAACTACAACAACTGAAAAGTAAACTGAAAAAACTGAAATCCACTAAGGATAAACCTGGCCTCAAACCCCTCAACCCCCCAAAGCGCCAGAAATTTGAAAGACATAAACCTGACCCAACAGCCCGGCTTCCTAAATTTGGTATGAATTATTTAACAAAAGTGTTTTTTGTTGTGTAGTGTAATGTGAATTTGGATAACTGGTTGTTCTATTTATTATTGTAGGCTCTATCTTAAAGTATAAAGTGCCTTGAGGCAAATGTTGTTGTGACTTGAATGGAATTTAATTGAATTCTATCAAGGAAGTTAAATCCTGCTAATTAGCAATATCTTGCTTATATCATTGTCAACCAATTCAATTAGAAGAATGTTTTCTGTACTTCATCAGTTTGTCGTGACACTCCTAATTGCTATGTTGTTACTACACTTTATTTTAAACAGAGAAAGTCCTGAATGCTTGGTTTCAGCACATTTGTGGAACAAGTAAAAAGGACGTCGAAAACGCCAAACAACGGGTCCAATATGTCCGTGCCTGGGCATATTTCATGTCTCACAATCAAGTCCCTGCAATGACGTTTGCATTTCTTGACAACAGAGAAAGACTGACTGAGTACATTTTTACAAATTTCTGTGATATATTAGTCCAGTAATCTCAATAATACTAAAGTGATTACTGATTTGTGTTTGTTTGTGGGCCTTTTGTAGATGGACAACTTATCTGAATAAACATGCCGTGACAACCAAAAGGATTCAGATTGGAAATGTGAGGGCGTTCTTGAAATTTCTAATTGATGCACAACTGCCAGAGGTCAGAGCCTCCCGTAAGGTTTTAAAGGGGACTTTATTTGCACTTCAGTCGGAAATGAAGAAGAGCAGAAGGGAGTTACACACCCACAGGCAAGACATCCAAATCAAAAAATCATGTAAGATCCAACTTTACTACTTATTCATCACTGTCGCTACCTAGCATGTGTAATAAATACATTATTTATAAATGTCATGATGTCATTACTGTGATTTAGTGAGGAAGGAGGACTCAAAATGTTATAATCTAAAGTATAAATTGTATACAAGTATATATTTTCTCTGCTTTATACACACAGTGGCATGCAAAAGTTTGTGGAACCCTGATAATTTTCATGGTTTTTCTTTATTAATCATTGGTTGCTTGGATTAGCAATTTCAGTTCAACATATCATATAGCGGACAAACACAATGATATTTCAGAAGTACCACTGTATACAATGTACAAAACAGAAAGTAAACAGAAACTAGGAAATGCAGAGCTGTTAGGCTTCATTTTCTAGTTTCTGTTTACTTTCTTTTTATCTACTTTCTACATGGGAAAACAGTATGTCACCACAAGGAAACAGAGGCACACCATGGATACTTATTCGTATACAAAGGTCAGGAGGACAAAAAGAAAGCAGAGAGAATCTACCACAGATGTAGAAAACAAAATTAATCAGGGGGTAAAAGTTAAACTAAACAACAGAAAATTGGCACCAAAAACAGGAGACGTGACCAGTAACTAACCAGTGGCAACACATAACTAAACATACAAATGCAGAAAGAAAAAACATAAAATAGCTAAACAATAAGCAAACTAGTAATCAAATTAAAGATACCTACTGATAAAATGAACTATACATTCAAAAAACACAAAGACTAAAATGGTCAAGGAAATGAGACTATCAAAATTTAGGATATTGATATTTCCTTTTTTCACATGAATGTGTTATATTCAGTACTAAGCTTGGTAAACTTGGAAAGTTTAGGAAGTAGGATAAATAAATTGAAAGGGTTAGTATTCTGGATTGGGAAAGTAAGATTTAAGTTCAAAATGGCAATCCAATTCATTTTCATATACTGTGAGCTCTGGTTGCCAGTTCTTCTTCCTTACAAAATAATTTTTTGAAAAAGATTAGGTCTAAACTACTACCTGTTTTATATTTACATCATTGTGTGCAGCATGAATGAGCATGACTGGAGCTCCAGGAACATAAAAACATTCTGTGTCTTTTAGAAATGCTTGTAGATCCTGTCCACATCACTGATTTTCTCAAGAAGGCCACCACACATCCCTGAAGCACTTGGTAAGTGTTTAGTTCATTTCTCCATAAGGACAACTCTAATAACCCCAATAATATCTCTGTTAATGAGAAATTATATAATATTTACTTACCAGCTGTAATCTGTATGTATATATAGTTCAGAATCTCAGATTTACAGAAATATATGACAGAACTTTTTGCTTTCAATTATAACAGACTGCTCATTTATAATCACTTGTTGGACTTTTGATTTTTGTTCAAATATATAATACATATACAAACAGTAGCATTTGTGATGTTTATATAGGATTATATTAGGGGGAGTATATAGCAATACAAGGGATATGCTCCCCTATCCCTTGTGTCTTACTGTGCAACCTCTATGTTACTCAATAGTCGAGCTTGAGAAAAATCCCACAACTGAGAACCTAGACTGGTTCTATGGTCTTCTGGCTGGATTTGTCATCTGCACAACTGGGCACAGAAGAGGCGTCATATCAAATATGACAGTTGAGGAAGTTGGCACTGCTGAAGCGGATGGTGATGGCCGGCGGATAATCAGAGTAAAATCATTAAGCAATTATTTCTCTCCCTGATTAAAGATATTTTCTTACCAGCAACATCACAGACTGTGCGCAATGTAATTTAGTTGCTGATTCTTTTACAGGTAAAAGAGCACAAGACCAAAGAAACATTTGGCCATGCACTTGTTCCCCTAACGAAAGACGAATACATATGGTTTCACCGCTTTGTGTACCACCGCCACAGATACCCTGGTGTATCATCACAATTGGTTTTTGCCAACACCAATGGAGGGCCTTATGCTAAGATGCTGACATCATTTCAAGATGCATGGAGGAAGTTTGGTATCCCAGGAAAACCAACCTTCTCTATGATTAGGAGCAGCATCAGCACTTTTGTGAGTAGTTTCCACTTTATGGTGATTCAGTGTTTTTACCTTCCTATCCTTTTAGAGGGATGATATAAAACAGTCACCCTTCCTGGTTCTACTCCCAGTGTTTTAATGTTGAAAGGACATTTCTTTTTCTTTTTATTGTCTTCTGTTGTACTTCTTTTTGTGGTTCTGTCCTTAGCTCTGTAAATCTCCTTGGAAATGTCAAATGTTAGTGCAATTAATAACATTATTTAATGTTTACATTTGTAGAGTGGGAGATCCTTGGGAACCCAAAGCAAGGTACAAGTCCACCGGATGATGTGCCATTCTGATGCAACTGCAGCGAGGTTTTATGAGGCAGATTTAAACTTGGACGAAGCCTTCAAGTGCCGCAACAATGCTGCAAAGGCACTTGCTGCGAACAATAGAACCAGAGACTCTGAGGAATCTACAACCTCAGAAGACAATGAAGATGTGTTGCAGAGAAGATATGCTGGACCAAAGAAAAGAAAGTCTAGTCAAAATGCCACAAGAGAAGAAATTGTGAAAAAGAAGACCAAACAGCACGCAAACACCATTGACACAGACAGCAGCAAAGATGAAAGTAACAATGAAGTCAGGAAAATCATTGACCCGGCAGCAGGAAACACATCTGGAAAACACCGACATAAACAGAGTGGCAGGGGAAGAGCAAAAGTAAGGGTGGAAGAAGACACAACAGGTGATGAAGATATGCCAGGGATGGTGACTACAGAGAGTAGTGAAGGTGAAGATTATGATGATAACTGTGAACACATTGACCTTACAGCAGCAGGTACATTGGGATCCACCAAAGGTAAAGATAATGCTAAAGAAAAGGGAAAAGCCACAAAGGACACAGGACATTTCTATAGTCATACTCAGTTTCTTAAAAACAAGTCTAAATGTTGGGAATATCCTAAAATTATCTTAGAAAGAAATGCAATCCAAACACAAATACAAAAAGTTGTTAGACCAAACGAAACAACTGAGGGTGTGAACCAAACACAGACAGAGACAATAGATGAAGACAATGAAGCCTTGAGGCCAGAAAGTTTGAGTGAAAATGAAAACAGTATGCAAACAGTGACTACAGATAACGAAGAAGACAAAGCTGAAGATTAAAATGGTCCCTTGTTGAACACAACAGACATAGACCAAGAAGTTTCCAGTGGAGTAGTGAGAAAAACTACAGAAAAAATAAAAGGAATGAGCACAGAGGACATAGGCCGAGATAAACATGGACCACAGAAAAAGACAACAACCAAGGAAAAATGCAATTTGAGATCAGAAGGAACAACAGAAGAAGGAATGAGAACACAGACAGAGACTATAGAAAAAGAGAAAGGTTTGAGCACAAATGACATAGCTGAAGATGAAAATGGGCAACACACAGTGACTACAGATAAAGACAACGCACTGAGCACAGAGGACAAGGAACAGGGACCACAGATGGAGACCGCGGTCAAAGAAAAAAACATTTTGAGAGCAGGAGTTACAACAGAGGAAGGAATGACAACACAGAGAGAGACTACAGAAAAAGAGAAAGGATTGAGCACAAATGACATAGCTGAAGATAAAAATGGGCAACACACAGTAACTACAGACAAAGACAAAGCACGGAGAACAGAGGACAAAGACATAAAGGAACAGGGACCACAGATGGAGACCACGGTTAAAGAAAAAAACAATTTGAGAGCAGAAGGAACAACTGAAAACAAAGACACAGTTAAGAGTAAAAGAAGATGGCCCTGGGACTAGCTATGAGTCTCCAGTGGCACACCCAAAAAAGAGGAAAAGGTCTCTAATGAAGAAAAGCTCTTTGGCGAAGTGTGATGAAAGCAAAGAAACAAGGCAAAAGGGCAACAAGCAAGAAAGAAAAAGACCAAAGGGCCTGACTGCAAGACAGCTGTTAAGTCCAAAGATGCTCAGAAGTCACAAGACTAAAGAGGCACCTAAAGATACCAGCAAAAGACAAAAAGCCATACAAAGAGTCAGAGGAAAAGATAAGAAAAACATTTTTGGTTGTTGTTGATTTTACTCTGATCTTCTGACAGTTTGTCTTACTACATTTTGAAAAGTTTGTTATCATGTGAGGTTTTGGTTACTTATTTTACACAGTTGCTCTGAGGGTTTTTTTCCCCTTAGATTTTACTCACTTTTGCATGTGAGAGTCTTCTTTTTTGTTAAGGTAAGTTATTGTTTTTATTTTTTACTTTTAAAATAAAACTTGTTAAAAACGGGCAAATGCTGATATATATATAAGTTGTTGAAAACAAATGCCAAATGCAATAATAAAAATCTTTCAGTTATATTTGAAAATCATGTGTCTTTGTTCAACAATCATTAGTCATGGATTTCATTTCTAAGCTGTAATTCCAAATAACTCACATATTATTCAGGCAGGGTTGCTAAAGGATGAAGTCCTCACAAATTATATCTGATTCCAAGTAACAATATCCTATAATACATAGCAGAATCAGTCATTTGGTAAAAGTCAGTGATGTTAATGGTGATGTCAGCAGATTATGTACAAATTATGTTTTTTCTTTCACAATGTGGATTTCCAAATGAGTCACATTTCACACTAATGTGGTTCCTAAAGGATAATATGCAAATTAGTAGATTGAATTAGACAGTTACTTTAATGACACATGCAATTCCTCACAAATCATCCTCAATTAAAAGTTACCGTGTCTTATAACAGACAGCATAAATCGATCATCTGATTTACTGGTAGATAGTGATGTCAGAGTGATGTCAGCTGAAGTCTGGAGAAGAACAATTTGTTAAGTGGTGAGTCCAGTCAGCATTGTATTGATCCTAATTACTATTGATTCTTCTTCTTTTTTTCATCCCAATCACTAGCGCTTCCAATATTCCCATACAATCAACAATTCTTCCAATTTTTCCACCCTAATCTTTAGATCTTCCACTTATTCAAGATACATTGTCTGAAATTCAGGAGCAGGACCATGCCTCCAAACATACCCCTTCTGGGTCTTATCTATATGACCCCCCACTTGTACAAGCTGTTCGTTCTTGTTTTCGTGCCCCACCTTCCTGTTTGCTTTTTTCAATTCTTTCAATTCTTCATGTCTCATTAGTACATTTAAATCTACCATGCTGGGGAGCTGCCTCCAGTCCCCTTCGAGGTCATTCCCAAAAAGCAGCTCAATTCATGTCCAAAACATTCACCGTAATTTACATACTGTGAAACGCTTGACGGAGGCAGTTGCACTTTCTCCTTCTCCCTCTCCCTTATCGTACCTGCTTGGCTTCTGTGAGATTCTAATATTATTTTATGCCATGTTAGACCC